GCATGAGTGGATGCGTTCCTTGGGCTTGGGTGGATATACTGGGACAATCACATCTTCTCCATCCTGTGTCGAAAGCTGGGTTTGTGACTGAGCGTCTGCGGGGCAGCGTTTCCCAGATGTGAAGGTGCGCTTGGAGCGTCTACCGAGGGCGGGAACGAGGAAGGCGGCGACGGAACAGGGGGCAGCGATTCCACGAGGGTTCGGACGGAAAGCCTGTGAGAGGGCGCTGCGAAAACATGTATGCGCAGCGCTCATTGAGGGGTGGCGGGCGAGGGGTGAGGGTGAATGCTCGTGCCAGCGGCATGTCTTGACTTTTTCTGACTGGGATCATGACGAACTGCACTCTCCAGATCCGAGACGCGCTAAAGTGACGGACAGGGATCAGCGCCCGAGCTCCAGGCTGCCTGCCACTAGCGCCCCCCCGGTGACCTCACGCGTCGACCCGCGCAAACATTTCGCGACATTTCCAGCAGTTGAACCAAGACTGGACACATTGACCGTCGCAGCCTAAGACGTTCGCATATATAAGCGACTACTTTCGCGCGTGTTCGCAAATTATTGCAGCTCAACCTCTACCAACCACACAGCACACTGACATACCGCGACTATGGGTGTCTATCGCGTCGGTAAGTACTGAATGAACCCAAGTCCTATGCAGCCAACCATCTAGCTATTTCATGAAAAATATACGGTTCTACGCCAATCAGGACGACACTAACCATACACCAGAGGTTTCCCCTAACAACCGCGCCGGCTGTCAAGTCAAGGAATGCAAAGACGCTGGCTCAAAGATCACCAAGGGCCAGTTCCGCTTTGCAGTTCAGGTCACCATCCATGAGCATGTCAGCTGGCAATACCGCCATTGGTAAGGATTTATGTGGTCTCTGTTAAAATATTTGCTGATGTGCCCAGGGGATGCGTTACCCCCAAGCAAATGGAGAACCTGATCGAGGTATCTGGAGGCGACACTGACATGGTCGACGGCTACGACGAGTTGCCTGCAGAGTTCCAGGAGTCGGTCAAGTTCGCGCTAGAGAACGGCCACATCCCAGATGCAGACTGCACTCATGTAAGTATCTTGACACCATCTCAACGAACTACTCAGACTCAGCTTTACTGACATCATCAGCCTGAGGATGTTGAATATAACCGACCAGGCGCTAAGAAGCCTCGAGCGAAGAAAGCCAAGAAGGCTGACGACGAGGACGGCGATGAAGCGGACGAGAAACCTAAGAAGAAGCCCGCAGCCAAGGGCAAGAAGAACGCCGTCAAAGACGAAGACGAGGAGGACGCGCCTGCGCCAGCCCCGAAGAAGCGCGGTCCCAAAGCCAAGAAGGTGAAGGATGAAGAGGAGGAGGATGCGCCAGCTCCCGCCCCGAAGAAGCGTGGTCGGCCAGCCAAGAAAGAGGTCGCTGAGGAAGAAGACGGCGGCGAGGAAGAGGCAGCTCCTCCGGCCAAGAAGGCTCGTGCCAGCGGCAGGACCAAGACCGCTCCCAAGTACAACGACAGCGAGGATGAGGCCCCTGCCCCCAAGAAGGCTCGCGGCAAGAAGGCTGCGCCCAAGCAAGAGCCGGTAGACGAAGATGAGGATATGATTGAGGATGCCCCGGCACCCAAGAAGGCCCGGGGCAAGAAGGCCGCAGCCGCCAAGGTCGAGCCTGAGGCCGGCAGCGACGTCGAGGAGGAAGCTCCCGCGCCTAAGAAAGTCCCCCAGAAGAGGTACGTTTCATCGAACGAGACACCAGTATGTTCATGACTAATTGTGTATAGGGGCCGCAAGAAGGCTGTCGCAGCCGACGAGTAAATTCCTCTCGCACGAAGAGCAGCACGCGTTACCGAACAATCTTGTCAGTCCGTATCGAGGCGTTAGCGGGGTGTCACGGGGGAGTATTGTTGAAACAGTAGAGATACCCAGGAGAGCGTCGTGTTTATGAGGAAGGAAAAGTTCCAGCAGGCCGTTTCGTTGGGTTGGCATCACAATGGTTGTTCTTTCTTTCCTCACGTTGTCGGTGTCTGTTTCTTTGCTGTATTTCTATACTGAATTGAGGTCCGTACATGACCTGTTACTTATCCAGTTTTCATCTCGCTCGTGTGTCGTGTGTATGTATCGTACAATGTGTTTTCCCTTCCACATGTGTTCCATTCCATTACCACATCATCCCGTTCCCTCGCCACTTCAACGTACCCGTCTTGAGTCGACTCAACTCCGGAGTCAACTTCGATCACGCCCTCAGCTTCTCCATCTCCTCATCCTTCATCCTCGCCCAATCCACCATGACCCTCCCATCCTCACACTCAATCGTCGGAAACAAGTCTTTGAAGCCGGCGCCATTCCTAGCACGCTCCGTTATGTATGTATGCACTACATCCTGGCCGTTGCACGACTCAGAGTGGATTGGACAACGGGCGGTGAAGATTGCGTTCTCGGTATCGGCACCACGACCGACATCGACACCGGTGTTGTTGCCTTCCGTCTGCTCGTCAGGTGAGAGGAACGAGAAGATAGGCCGAGGTGTTGAAGATGGGTTCGCGGCGTTGTAGGCTTCGTTTAGAGCTTTTGAAGCGGCGCGTGGTCGACCGGTGTTTAGCGGTTTCTTCTCGGCCTGGACGATGTAGCTGGGAGACGGGACGGGGTCGATGAACGCTGGAAAAGAGGACGTATCTGGTGCATGGGCGAGTGGAAAAGTGAATGCGGGTGTGGTGTCGCGCTGCTGACCGGAGCCGCCACGTAAACCGACGGGTGCCTGTCCGATGGGAGTCTGCGCCCTCGATGACTGAAGACTGCTCGCAGGATGTCCACCACCCTCCTGTCTAGCAGGAGCATTCAACTCATATCCCGTATCACCCGTCTCATAATCCCTCTGCGCCAACCCCCTCAAATACACCGCACTCTCCTTGGTCTGATAATTCGCCCCGCGAAACGGACTATTCTCTCTAGTCTGAGCCCTGGACTCACGAATCACATCCGGATGACCCAGACCATGAAGATACAAACCACTTCCACCACCCTCATCAGGCGAAATATCCCGTGGACTGCAACTCCGAAACCTACTCGGTGTGTGCGAGCGTGACGAGAGTCGAGATGGCGAAGGAGTAGGCCGACGTGAAACAGTTTCTACGAAGGCGGAAATGTCTGAGGGATCCATCCAGCCTTGTGACACGGAGAGGTTGGCTACCATATCTTCTTCTTGCCATTGTGGAGCGTGATGAGGCGCACTTCCACTTACAGCTTCGGCAACATCTGCGAGGGGGCTCAATGATCGCCGGATCCCTTCTGCGGCTAGTAGCTGGTTCAAACGTGAGGTGCTCGCTATGGGTCGGAGTGAGGTAAGGCCATGACCACTGCGGACGCTGAGACCATGCTGGTGTGTTGGCGATACGGGGCGTGAGACGAAGGGTGTGTTGTCTACGGAGGCGTTGCGGGAGCCGGGTGCGGAGTAGGCGAGGTAGTGGCCGCGGTCGTGCGGTGTGTAGCTTGTTGCTGGGAATAAGCTTTGTGAAGAGTCGCTAGTGGTGGGAGGAGCTTCGACGGTGCCGATGCGTGGGACGTTAGTTGAAGAGGATGAGGTACGGTGAGATGGTGTTGGTCGAGAGCGAGAGTTGGGTCGTGAGCCGAGGTTTGAAGATACTTGCGAGGGTACTAGCAGTGTCGTGAAGGACGGGACACCTGAAGGGACCTGACTGGGTAAAGGATCCCGCGCGCTTGCCTTGGGAGTCGCAGCAGCGTCAATGTCCTTTGCGCCGCCTTTTACAGTCTCAGTCTCGACCTTGCTTTCCTTATTCTTCTTCTCTCCAGCTTTCTCCTCTTCCAGCGCCTTCTTCGTCTCTTGCTTCTTGATCTCCTCCTGCTCCTTCTGCCATTCCCACTGGTGGACACAAGACCTCTGCAAAGCAGCAACAGTGCTTTCAAGAACCAGACCCGGTTCCTTGGAATCGTAGATTGGTGCTTGATCTGTAACGACTCCTACGATGTTGATGCCCTTCTTGGTTGAGAAGGGCACTGGCTCGATCGGGTTACCGACAGGATAGGCGTAGATGAAGTGGCCTCGGTAGTGGTACGCGACGCCTGTTTCGAGCGTGTGATCGCCCTTTAGTCCGGAGATGAAGACGCGCTGTTTGGTAGCTTTAATTCGGGCTGCGCGCTCTGGGATTCGATCAGTATAGAGATCGTATGTTGTACGCGGGTCATCCCAGGGTTGGTGACTACTTCAGGAAGTAGCGATCGCTACATCATACTCGCCCGACGGAACTTGGGAACTTACCATTCGCGATAGTCTTTGCATTTCCTCTCCCCGCCATCGTTGCGCCTGCTCAAACGGGTAATCGTGTGCGTTGGCGGTGGGTTGTTACGTGATGTCACAACAGCGTCGCGACAATCGCAGATGTAGATTAGAAAAGCAGCGACAGCACCAAGTCACGGAAGTAGCGCAGGGATTTCGCGAGATTATTCCTTTATGACCATCAGGCAGTTTGGTGGTTATTGCAAGTGACTTCCGATCCACGTACCCCACAGCAAACGACAAGGGAGCTAAGACCATGCGGGAAGACCTTGTGTATGAGGTGGTGAAAGTGAAAGGGGACATTTCGATGAGATTGGTACAGGTATAGGAGGACGAGACATCTTGCGGTAACGATAGTAAAGAGTGTTGCGGACAAGGGTCAATACAGTGCCTGCCAGGTACCAAAACAGGCAGGCGCAGAAATTGAAGGGGAAGGAACAGTAAACAATGAACAGCATGCGTAAACATGATCTCGAAAAAGTCTTCAACGCACGACCACGATGGAGGACATACGCGTATCATTGCAGGTATCACGTGGATATGCCAGGGGCCAATTGGTTCTAGGCACGGGATAGCCTTTGCAGACGAGTACAATAAACAAAGTCTACACAGATCTCAACATGGAAGTCTGAACATAAAATCATGATTCAAGTAAATGGATATCAGATTGATTAAGACACACTATTAATTTCCTCCTATTTCTTCAAAGGGTATCACACTCTATCGGGTAGCAGAGGTACCGTCAGAGCCATCGGCAGCGGCACCGAGACCCTCCTCATCACCGGGCTCGGTGTAAGTGCCAGACTTCTTGGTAGCACCACGTGTGCGCTCGTCGAGGATGTTGCTCTTGTCGATGGCGTCCTTCTCGTCACGCTCTGTATAATGTTAGAACTTTGTTGTAGGAACTGATGCATCTGAAGTACATACCCAACTGAGCGTCGGAGTCACCACCGTTGGTGTACTCGGTCGCCTCAACAGGCGCCTCGTCGTTCTGAACGGGAATCTCGGTCTGGCCGGTACGGGACTTGTAGTCGTTGTCCATGGCGTTGCCGTTGGGGATCTCGCTGGAGCTCATGATGATGGTGGTGTTGATGTTGTTGGTTTGAGTAGTGGATGTAGTGGTGGAGGTGTTACAGACGAGGGAAGTTGATTGAGATGTGATGAAGTGTTGATGTAGAAGAAAGCAGATGGGATTACCTCCTTATGTAGACGATGTGAACAGAGATGCTACGTCATGGTATCGACCATGTCCCCTCAAGCCTCTGATGCAACATGGTGTTCGAAACAATAGGGAGGCAGGGCCGCGATCTAGATCCCATACCGCGATCACAGTTATGACCGCATAGTCCAGAATGCCATACTGCCCTCCACAAAGCGCCACACCAGCATGGGATTGATGTGCACTGGAAAGGGGATAGGCATATGGCGATCCGGGAAGCGGGTCCCTTCCTAGAGGCAGGAGCTGATTGCGCTTGTCGGAGGTATGCGATGCAATGACTAGCAGACGTGAGAGTCGACGCGTCATACTGCGGTGGTGGTGCTGCAGGCCAATGCAACGAATGCAATGCAGCCCTTCACAATTCCTTCTTTTTCTACATGACTGACAGTGCGCCAGTGTTTCTACGATGCGATTGATGCTATGCGAAGCTACGCGGACGTCAATATTATCTGTCAGAACGTTCCCTAGACTGCGTCATGCCTCCACAAAGCTACGGGGACTGGACACCCGTCATGCAAGGGACAGCACAATAGCCCATAAACCCAGAGCTAAGATCGCACCTGCAGCCGAAAGAGGGTGACAGTCGACGTCAACACGAGCGTAGCGTCAGGGGAGTGTGGAGCCTCTTGTCTGAGCTACAGATTGGCGAGATCGATCGTGCATGAGATATCGGTTTCTGTGTAATGTCGATGACGATGGGGGCTGGAAGTTTGTTTTGAGATGGCTGGTCGACGTTAGGTGGGAGCATTGACGCGAAACGCGACATCGCGACGTCACGACATCACGTTGGCCCGGAAGCGACTTAGCTTGCGTTAGGGGTAGGGATACGAGCAATTGAGCGACCGCATCATCGCATTTGAGATGCACACGCATTCTGTTTTAGCGATAACTAGGGCGCTGATACTCGTGCATGCGCAGTCATATTCTAGGTAGGTCTGGGGTGAATATGCGCAGAACCCCAGCCAATTGCAGGATAATTCATCTTCACAAATAGGACGTAGCATTTCCAAGGCGTTCCATTGCAGTCCACAGAGAGTACAATTTTCAAAGCGTAACCATGAGTTTGTCCCTATCCAAATAATACATAGCAGAATAACTACGCCAAAGATGCACAACGTTTCTCAGATAATACAGCGACGATCATTCTACGCACTGGCGCCGGCATCGACCGCAGTTCCGCTCTCGCTCGTGTCCTTCTTCGCCTCCTCGGTCTTCTTCGCGGCAGCCATTTGCCATGCTGGAATAGCAGCGCGTCCCGGCGAGGGCCTACCATACGCAGGGAGCGGCTTCTCGGTGGCAGGGTTAGGAGTGGGCGCGGGCGTTGCGCTACCATTTGTCTGGGTCTCGGTAGCGCTCGTGCCGTTGGTCTGCTCACTGGGCGCAGGAGTAGAGGACGGCTGGGGTGTCGATGCCGAAGCAGCGGGTGTGCCGTTTGTGTTGGGTGTCTGCGACTGCGACTGCGCTTGTCCGTAGTAGCCTGAGGTGCTCTGTGGGCGTGGTGGTGCCGGAGAGCTCATCCTGTTGCCAATCAACGTCTTCAGGCTCTTCAGCTCAGTTGACAGCTCCTGCAGCCTCTTGTCGGTGGACTCCTTCTGTGAGTCCAATGCCTTCGGTATCAAGTCCCTCAAGCCGCGGACGTCATCCTCGATACGTCTGTTGTCGTCTCCCTGTCTCTTCGACGACTCCTTGAGGCTCGTCAGGACACTCTCCACCTCACCAAGCGCGTCATCCAGTCTTGTTGTCCGTGCCTCTTCCGATGCCTTGAGAGCGGTTGTGTCGGTGTTGAGTTGCTCGAGGAGATCGAACGCGCGCTTGAAGGACTCGTCGACTGAAGCCTTGTCTTGCTCCAGCTGGGGCTGCGTAGGTGGTTGTATCAGGGGTAGGACATATCGTTTCGCTGTGAAGTAGAGGCCGTATCCTACACCGCCCATGACCGTCGCCATGATGAAGTAGTCGCGCCAGTCGCGTTTCGGCGGTCTGTATCTGTCAGCATCGGGACCGGATGTAGATAATCTCTATACTTACTCCGGGGGCGGCGGAGGCGGTTGCCAGTATTGTTGGGGCGGATAGCTCCCATACGGGGCTGCCGGTGGTGGTCTGTACGCATTGCTGGCTACTGCGGATGTCTGGGTTGGAGGCGATGAAGCATAACTGGGGTCTTCGGCTGCACGCGCGAGAGAGACATCGACTTCTTCTTGCGTGAGGTTCTTGGATTGGAGAAAGGCGATGCGCTTCTCAAGGGGCGCGCTGGCAACGGACGGGTCCTGGAGGACTGGCGGCTGTTAGTGTCGTCGCGTAGAGCGTGGTGTGCGTGGACCTACAAGACACCGCCGACTGTATTATATCCTCGCGGACCATGTTGGCTACACGATACGCAATGCCAGTAGCACGCGCAGGTTGAAGTTGGTGATGGAACTGGAGAGTCGCGAAATGACGATCCGAAAGCTGGAGGCGGGTATGCCTCGGCTCCTTTAGATCGGCGGTCGGTTCCGCCTCGTCTCACGTGGCACGCCGACCGCAACTCTTTGCCAACTTCGACTCTGCGATGCGAGACGTCCCAACTCCAGATTATGACTTTCCATGGCAGCATGCCCTGGTCTATGGTTATAAATACGGGCGATGCTGGTCATCTACACTACATCGGCAGTATGTCCACGGGAGAACGGTCAGCCTCCACCGACAAACACGGTACTGCGATGACGCATCAGACGCTGTGGCCAAATCAGCAGAGTCTGTACACTAACTTATGCCACTGCTCCATATTTCGATCACTATATTATTCCTTACTTCTTCTCCTTGGAAACTTGGATTACTTCGCCCGCCGCGGAGCATCTGCAATACTTGGACTCAGCAGGTAGGGCAGAACAAACATAGTGTCAGTGAAAAAAGAGCGTGGATACATGGTGCTCATCCCATATTCTGTCAATACCTCGACGTAATGTGCCCTGAAGGACATGGCAGACAGCACGAGAAAAAGAGCAGATTATCACGCAAGCTACTGAGAACCATGGTTGCGATACACTCAAGCCAAGGCTGACATTTGACATGCGACAGCATGCAAGCTACCCGAGCTTCAGAATATCGTTACATACTTTGGGAGTGTGTACTTCGATTTTCGGTATTTTCAATCGTCGCACTGTGTCAACGCGAGTTCTTTGTAGTTTTGCCAGCTTTCATGATCACCGTTTGGTCATGTCTATCAATCGCTTTGTACTCGGATGGCCCACATAAGGCGACTGCTCTGTGCCCGGCCAGTTAGAATACTGCACGCTTCCTCATATGTACACCCGCTCATTGGTTGTTCAGGGGCACTATGAGCGCGCGGTATTTGGTCGGTTCGAGAGTGAAGGTGTGTACTGTGCGGAGCTCAGACTTTCTTGCGGTGTAATCACGACCTTCACCTCATTGTGAATGCAGTCCAAGACAAACGAAGATTTCCGCCTCTCCACCAATCTCACACTGCTCAATTTCTCGTTCTACCTCCTTGAAACTCTCGCATGTCTATAGCGATTGCAGCCACCGTCTAACTCAGCGACACCATGGACCGAACGAACATTATCGACGACAATGAAGTCGCGCGCGCCATGAATTTGGCTACGCCGAGGAAAGGCAAAGGAAAGGGTAAGAAAAAAGCTCCTGAATCCCACGCGAGCAGTCCTCCAAAGCAGAAGAGTACTGCGAGGGCAAGGGCAAAAAGTGCGACCCCAGCTACACCTTCCACCCCGACGCGGGCTTCCGGGGCTAGGTTCTATGAGGCGAACGGCTTGAAGATTCCATTGTACAACAAAGACGGCTTGGGCAACAAAAAGAGGCCATACGCTCGCTTATCCAAGGGTCTGCTCAAGTACAGCGTAGACGACTTGCTTGACATTGTTGAGCAGTATGCAGGCGCGGAGAAGAGGCAAGAGCTGAAGGACGAGGGACTAGCGAAATCAAGGCTGGCGAACTGGATCGAAGAGAAGGAGACACTTGCTCTTGGACGCAATCCGAAGTCGACATTATCTAGTAGGTTCCTTTCCCATTGTATTTGATGCGCGCGGGTATACTGACAGTCTAAGTCGCAGATGAAGAAGAAGAAGCCGATAATGCTGATGACGCCTTTTCCTCCCCCGCGCCTGCCACCCCGATATCTTCCAGTGTGAGAACACCAATACAGGCCAATACACCCTCTACACCCGTCAAGAAAAAACATGACTCGCCAATTACGATCAAAGACAGTAGTACCTCCCGTCAATCTAGTCACCGGAAGAGGAGCGCACCTGATGAGCCACCGGACGGCCGGCCACACGCGAAGCTTCAGAAGCGTGACGCACTAACAAACACGGCTGCTACAAATACCGGACATTCGGCTGAGGATGAGTTCACAGGCACCCTAGTCGACTACAACATACCAACGCTTTCGCAAACGGAAAGGCAAACATCGGTATATAACGCCAAAGGGTCCCGCCAAGATGCTTTCATGCAGGCCACTGGCATGAATCCTTTGGATCCCGACCGCTCTTCGATAATCATTCGCGGACGTAATGAGGATCGCGTGCTCACAGCGACATCTGGCCAAGGTTATCGCAAGGGCGAGACGTACTTCCATGAGACCACAAGTAAGTAACAGCTTTTCTTCGGATACTCCTGATGCAATGCGGGTTGTTTCATTCGCTGCACACTTCCTTACAGTCATCTGAATACCCCCTGGGGCGGTCCAAACATAGATTATCTCGGCTGTTCACTCCGCTTGCCCATACAGCACACCTCGCTAACACGCTACCTAGTACCACATCGCGCTATCAAGTCCCACCAATCTCCTCCCGTCCCATACCTAAAAGAAGGAGAGCACGGACGTAAAGGTGACTTTCAAGCCGATAACGACCGGCGCACGGGCCTGGGTCATCAGTTTGAACCGGACGACCATCTCAAGTGGTTGGAGTTCAAGAAGTTCTACAGCACAATTTACGAGCAGTTTCCACACTATCCGAAGCCGAACCAGGGGATAACAATCGACCTTGAGACCAAGGATACATGGGATGCATGGCAAGTTTGGTACGATGAGTTTACGCACAAGTATCCCGGGTATGCCGTCAATCACTTGTGGCCTTGTGGCTGCGAGAAGGCGAGAGACGAGGATGAGAGTGAGGAGGAGTAGTGGTGAAAGACATCTCCATTGGCATACGACAAGCATGTCCTACGATCGCTGTGTGGGAGCTTGCGGCATGCCAAGGATGTATAAGTCGCGCATGGTAACGATGTAGACTTTCATTGTACCTAGGTATGCTTACAAACTTTACCTCGATGACTCGAAACGCTAGTCACCCGACGCTCATATCTTGTAAATGCCTCACCATGCTAAACCCTATTAAAGGTAAGTGTGCGCAAGTATATGGTACAAGACTCCTGGTATCCTACTTAAAGTGTCTAGGCTCGAGGTTTCTTACATTACTCGCTTACCTCTCCCGCAGCGCCTCACCAATCGACAAAGGGAAAACTGAACAGGTCTGCAGACTACATCAAGTCAAAAGCGTGCAAAGTAAGTGACACAACGTCAACGTAGACTGCAGGGTGTTCAGCTTTTTCCTAGGTTCCAAACATGCCGCCAGTGCAATCACTCAAGCGCACTTCGGCAGAAGCCAGAAGAGACAGCGGCGCGGGCTTGATGACCCCATCGAAAACACCATCATCACCCGACAAGTCTACAATGCGCCTGAAGCTCGAAATACCTCAACGAGACATCTCCAAAGAGGAAGAACGCAAGCTCAAGATCCGAAAAGCCGCTGCAAAACGCTGGATACCCAATCTTCAAAGGCCTCCGCCTCAGCTAAAAGAGATCAACGCCGCCTACAACAATAAGCTTATGAGGCATTACACCGACGGAACTGCAGCACCGTCAGACAACATCATCAGACCGCCTATCAACAGGTCCGCCCGTGTCGACGCTTTACTGGCAACGCTCCCACTTCAACCCGAACAAAAGCTGCCAAAGTCACTCAGTCAAATACAAGCCGAGCACCGCGAACAAGTCCGAATTGCCGCACTTTTGGAGCCAAACAGGAAAATCACAGAAGGCGCGGACGCCAAAGAACTAGCGAAGGAAGCTTTTTCATCGAATGGACAACCTCGAGCCCGCAAAAGTCTCAAGCGCAAGTGGACGGTTGTTTCGGATCTGAAAGTCGAGGAGATCCAGAAGTAACTTCAAGGCAAAGACATCAACTTTGCCTGATTGGAAGAAGGCGAAGACGGGGCAATTCACGGAGTCCACTGGGCAGGATAAATTGTGATGAGTCAGGGTGCGGTGGTGGGCTCCGAGGCCAGCATATTACGACATTGGGTTGGGGACTGCGGCATATGTTTTGAGGAGTACAGCGTTTGGGCTCACTGACTGCGACGATAGCGGTTGGGAAGCATTGCAATTGTTTTAAGGGTTTGGCTGATTGGCGGTGTTGGGGTAGAAAAATGTAGACTAGTCAAGGCAACTATGGTACTTGATTACACAAAAGGGTGTACTTTGACATTTGTGACCAGTGATAAAATCGGCGTATGGCAGATAGGTGCAGTATCTATGCGACACAACTATGGTACCAGATATTGTTGTACGTGAAAGTCCACTTCGAAATTCTCGGCCAGTAATGTAGGATGTATATGGCAAGAAATGTAATATCTCAGCAATGCAACTATGGTACTGCTATAACTGGATCCGCTTACCATGTACGTACTTTGGTTTTCATGTACGCTCAAATACTTTATACCAAGCTAGTGATATAGATAAATTATGTCCATGTCGACTTCCAAAGACCATACCATCACACCAAACCTCTACATCAGAATTCCGCAAAGAAAGTTGAATCCCAACTAACCCATCCAACACCAACACAAACCCGTAAAATCAAGCATCATGAAGCATTTCCTCTCGCCCGACCGCATGGTCGCAAATTCGCCTCCTCAAACGAGCGAGGAAGCATCACCACCCACCACACCATCAGCCGCGAAGCCCAAACCCAAATGCCGGCTAATCATCCACCCCCCCAAAACACCATCACCAAAGAAGCCCAAGCGAGGATGCCACCTCACCATCCACCCACCCACGCAAAACCATGCCAAAACCCAACACCTCCCCACACCCCAATCACTCCCACAGATGCCGCCAAACACCAGCGCCGCGCAGAAGAAGAAGAAGAAGCCCTTCTTCCAACATTTCAGAACGCGAGCACAATTACGCACACCCATCAATAAAACGTACTATTTCCCCACCGCGCAGAAAGCCAGAAATAACATACGCAACAATAACTTTCTGGATTCAGTGGCACTAGGTGTTACGCCTCTGATCCACAAGTGTGAAGACATGGGCGATCTGGGACTCAGTGGCGTGGAGATGGGGGATGAGGAGAGGGGCGAGAGGGGCGAACTGGAGTTTGGGACTGGGTTGGAGGCGGAGATGGAAGAGGATGATGAGAAGAGGGGGAAGATGGCTTGGTTGAAGGAGAAGTTGTGGGGGAAGGGGACTTGGGCTGTTTGTAGTGGGAGGGAGGAAGAGGAGGAGATGGAGCGTGAGCTTATGTGTTTGGCGAGAGCGGCGGTGCCGCTGATGGGTGCGCACGATGAGGATGAGATGGAGGTTGTCGGTGGGCCTTCGATGAAGAGGGAGTGCCCAAATATGGGTGACCATATGGGTGGCTTCTCGGAGGCTGATGTTCGATGGTTAAACGGCTTGGGGGCGTGAGGGCTCGTGAGATTTGATGGAGAGCACCTTCAGGCTATGGCATGACTACGGAATACGGGTATACGGTTGTGCGCGATAGTGTCTACGTTTTCATATTCTTTCTTCTAGTAATCGTAAAATCCCTTTCCACTCTTCTTTCCCAGCCACCCTGCATCCACCATCTTCTTGAGCAGCACTGCGGGCCTGTACTTGGAATCCCCCGTGTCGTGGTACAAGACCTGCATGATCGCCAGGCAAGTGTCGATGCCGATGAAGTCCGCTAGTTGCAGTGGGCCCATAGGTACATTCGTTCCATTCTTCATGATGCTGTCAATGTCCTCCTTGGCGCCTACACCCGTCTCAAGGCAGATGACAGCCTCGTTGATGTACGGCATGAGGATGCGGTTTGCAAGGAAACCGGGGCTGTCGGCGGACTTGGACGGAATCTTTCCCATCTTCTCGCAAAACGCGATTGCGGTTTCGACGGTAGCTTGCGAGGTCTGAAGACCGGTGATGATCTCAACGCCCTTCTGGATGGGTACTGGGTTCATAAAGTGTGTGCTGATGACGCGTGATGAAGCCGAGAGATCTGTTGGGTCGGTGGTAGTGCTCGCCGCAATCTTGGTGATCGATATGGACGAGGTGTTGGTAGCTAGGATAGCGTGTGACGGGCAGATTTGCGCGAGTTGCGAAAAGATCTTGTGCTTTAAGTCCGGAATCTCTGGTACGGCCTCGATAACGAAGTCGACGTCTGATAGATCGTCCATCGATGTGCTGGACGTCAATCGCTCTCTTGCTGCGGCGGCGTCGTCTTTCGAGATTCTGCCCTTTCCAACATCCTTCTCGAGGAGCTTGTCCGCAAACTTCAGGCCTTTGTCGATTGATGCTTGGGAGTTGTCAATCAACCGGACCGGTACTGAGGCCCTCTGTGCTGCTACAAGAGCTATTCCGAGGCCCTGAACATGTTAGATTGACAGCTGTAGGGTTGGTGCATCGATGCATACCATCTGGCCTGCTCCAATAACACCCAGCTTCTTGACCTCAGCGGCAGCACCGACAGAGGGAGTTGAGCTGAAGGCACGGCATTGCTGCCGTACAGCGCATCGGGCGACTTGTTTTGAGGCCACGGAGAACATCGTGTGTATTGAATCGAAGGATTGCACGGATTGTGAAAGATGCGTGATCAACATGTGATGAAGAACGACATTTCCCCAGGCCGATGAGAACCGCGGCGGGCTAGCCGAGGCATGACGTTGACTGGCGGCGGGAAGGCGCGAGGATCTGCCCTGTCTTGGCGGATTTGCGCGGTTTGTCCCGCTTGTGGCACTTTACGCGTCGACGCGTCTTTTGGGCCATCGCGACACCGGCGGGCATTCTGAGCATCAACCACGACAATGGCTCAGACAACGCTGGACGATTGGGCGCAGGACACCGTTAACCCGGAAGTTCGCGCTCACGTCTCTAGTCTAATATCTGCTGTACGTATCTCCTTCCACTGACACAATGGCTACTGACATACAATCAGCTCGGTGGTATTGGCGATGACGGCACGTATGCACTCGGACACGACGCCCTGCTCTGCCTCAAGGACCTACGGAAATGGCTGAAGTTCGCCGACGGGCAGTACAATCGACGCGATGTAGCACGATGCATGGCCGAAGCAAACCTCGTAAAGGGCGACTTGCTTGAGATACTGGCCAAGATATCACCAACTGTCATGGAAAGCGCCTGGAAGCACAAGATTGCGGTTGCGACATGTGAGGAAGCATTTCCTAGGTACCGAGACTGTACTGACACTTGCAGTGGAACTTCTCGTGCCTTTGACATGGCCCAACGAAATCGACCCCACCGAAGCGACCGTAAACCACCACCGACATGGGCCTTATATCGGGCTCGCCCAAATTGGCTACAAACGTGCTATTCTGCAATTTGACCGAGACAGAACCCTGCAGACTGCAGTCAAGATCGCGCTCCCTTCCATGGCCGTGCCCCTCCGTGAACGCACACCACGAGACGAGGGTATCATCCGGATTGCACTATACTTCATACGCAACATCGCCATGCTCGCGCCCCCGAACAATGCACACATGGACACCGACGAAGCTGAAGTCTCCCGATCTGCAACGATTGATACTTTCCACGAGCAGGATATATTCCAAGTTCTTCTGAGTATAGCATCAAGCATCGGGGAGGATTTTGTTACCCAAGACGTCGTAATCCTCGAAATCCTGTTCTTCTTGCTCAAGGGCATCGATGCTGAGAAGCTGTTCATGGAAGACAAGAAGCTTAACACTAAAAACACGGACGAGCTCAAGGGCTTGATCCAGAAGGAAAAGGCCATGCTTGCAGGTTACGCTCGCAACGCTCCAACCCGGCATAACCGATTCGGAACGATGATTTGGATGAAGAGGGACGACGAGAAAGTTACAACTATATCTGGGCAAGATGTGCTAGGAAAGGCGCAGGCTAGCATGCAGAAGATGGACGATACAAAGAAGTGGAATAAACCCCGGCGTCCCGGAAAGAAGCAAGCCGGCGATGAAGAGAGGGAGGAGTTCGATCTCCCAGTACCACTGACCTCTTCTGCGCGGAAACATATCAAAGCATTCGTCGAGGAGTTCCTCGACTCGTCCTTTAACCCTCTATTTCTGCATCTCCGGAAAGCTATCGAGCGGGAAACGGAGCGTGTGGAAACACGACACTCCAGGCAGTTCTTCTACCTCGTATCGTGGTTCCTACGAGCAGAGTGCGCACGGCGGCGGACGATGAAGGAGAGGGCCGCAGACCCGAAGAGTCCTGAAGTTCTATCCGCTGAAGATGAGAGCTACGGACTAGTAGCCGAAGTCATGAATCAGGAGACCTTCATTCTACTCAACCGCTTCATGCAGAAGAGTCAAGATGAGAAGGCATGGCGAGACCTCAACGCCGGGCTGAAGTGCTTCACCCAAATTTTGCTTACCGTGCATGAGATGTCCGAGTCAGGTCTTGAGGAAGACCAAGAGATTGCCGAGAACATTCAGAACCGTATCTTCTACGAAGAGTCAACACACGACAGGATAGTCATGATCCTAAGGTCATACAAAGATCAAGGCTTTGGCTACCTTGATGCAGTCACAGAGCTTTCCCATGTCTTTTTGCGGATGCTCGAGCGCTATGCAAAGCAGAACGTTGACATGCAAATCCGATCGAAAAGACGAGCCCGAAAGATCAAGAAGAAGAAAGCGGAAAAGCAGGGCGAAGACGGAGAGGAAGAGGGTAACGCTTCTGAGACTGAAGACCTCCAACAAGCCCAAAAGACGGTTTCTGAACGCAAGTTCGATTTCATGAAATTCTCGGCAAAGTTCGTGAACCAAAGTAGCGTTAGCACGTTCGTTGCCTTTGCCAAGTACTTCAGCGACCTCGATACCGAACAGCTGAAGCGTGCGCATCGCTTCTTTCACCGTGTCGCTTTCAAGATGGAGCTTGGTGTCTTGCTGTGCAGGGTGGACATCCTGGCGCTTTTCAACAAGATGATGAAAGGTCCAGGTGGTCTTGATCCAGAGTCGCCAGCTTACAGAGAGTGGGATGATTTTGTCAAACACTTCTTCAGGCAGGTTGTAAAGAGGGTACAAGAGAGGCCAGAGCTGGTAGTCGAGATGCTGTTTGACAAGATCCCTGCAACCATCTTCTTCCTTGAGCACGGATATGATCGCGAGATACACACTCGAGCGCCACGAGCTCCAGCAGAGCTTGAGGTCAAACCTGGAATGGAGCTACCTGATCAGATTGGTGTCGCTGTTGGTGTTCTTGTCAATCAGTCAAAGTCGGATGCTCTCCGCTGGGTACGCGATGTGCTTACATCGGCAGCTGAAGAGCGCAAGGCGTGGGAAGAGGCAGCTGAAGCACAAAAGGCGTTGGTGGGTAACGTAGAGGAGCGTCCAGAAGACGAGGCACCTGAGAATCCAGACACTGAAACCTCGAAGCCGCCGTCGATCTGTAAGTATGCCTCTCACTGTGAGGAAGTCTGCTAACCGAGTCTAGTCATCAAGCACGATACCGAAGAACGTCGCGTCGCTATGTTCAAAGACAACAAATTACGACTACTCATGAACCTGGTCGGCTTCGAGAGGTTAGGAGAACACCACGATCCGGACGCTTCATGGATTATACCTGCATCACTTACTTCAACGCAATTGCAAGAAGCCATAGATCTCATTCGCAAGTATGAATTCGATCCCCCAACATATGAGGACGGCAAGGCGCCAGAAGACTTGCTTCGTAGCAAGGCTGCAGCAGCTCGACGCTCCACTCGTCGGGCCGAGTTTGACGATGACTCTGATGGCATAGACCGTGACGAGGAAGAGGACCACGGAGAATACGCAAAGGGTGGTCCCACTGAGAGAGATGCAGACGCCCCTCGCAAGACGCTGAAGCGACGACGCCGAAGGAATAGTGCCGTGGAGCTTGACGACGAAGAGAAGGACCGCAGAGCCGAAGCACGTCGCAAGAAGGAAATCGAGAAGCAAGCCAAAGCATTGAGCACCATGTACGTGCATGACTCAGACGACGAGGACTGGGACGCCGAGAAGGATGCCGCCTTCTTCGCGCGAGAACAGGCGATCCGCGAGGAAAACATGAAAGTCTTCAAGAAGTCACTTGTACTTGGAACTGTGGAGCCAGTCGCATCTAAGAAGCGCAAAGCCGATGCACCGGCGAAGAAGAGCAAGAGGAGAAAGAGTCCACCGAAACGGAAAGCGCCATTCGCCGATAGTGACGACGATATGGAAGATGCAGAGAGCAGCCAAGCTCCTTCTGTGGTTGATGGCAATGAGGACGAAGATGAGGACGAGGAAGAAACTACAGATACTCCGCTTTCATCGCAGAAGGCTGGGGCAACAGCAGCACTTAGTGACGCGGATACGCCTAGGAAACCAGCGGACAAAACTCCAACGGAGGGTATAGATGCCGCAATGGCAGACGCAGACTCGGATGACGACGAAGATGATGCACCAGTAGCGCGGAGGCCAGCGGCGGCGCGCAAC